TGGTGCACCAAATGGCGCGCCTACGCACCAAAAAATCTGTTGGTGCACCAGTGGTGCACCATTAAAATTATACCTGCTCCAACAATCCTACCTATGACCTTAAGTGGCCTATATGACCTGTCATAGATCATTCGGATATAACGAAGATTGATATGACTTATGACCTTTTTTAATATAGTAAGAATCATAGTAAAGATTTTTTTCATTAATTATTTAATATGACTGGATGACTATGACCAAAAGTCATATGATTATATGACTAAAGTCATATAGAAAAAAAAAAGGTATTTTATAGTTATCGTGCACGAAGTGCACGATAACTATTTTATCGTTTGGGTCCTATGTAACAGTTTCTGACGTCAATAAACTTTTTTTTTTTTGATATTTAAGCTATTTATCTTTTTTTTTTTTTATCCTTTTCTTACTAGAAATTTACACGAAGAAGCTGAACATTTAAAAAATCTATCTTATACTGAAAAAAACACTACTAAATGGCACCGTCATATCGTCAAGCAAATAATATTAATAAAACGATTGATCAAATTGACAATAAAGTTGAACTCGATGAATTTTAATAAAACGATTGATCAATTGACAATAAAGTTGAACTCGATGAATTTTTAAGTTTGTTTATTGCATGACTTACAAAAATTGATAGCAAATCATTTAAAGCTGAATCAATTAACAACTATTATGTTGCATTAGCACACTACTTACGTGAAAATTCTTCTATTCCGGGTAATATCGATGGTTTAAATCCTAAAGTCCTCAAGCCATTTAAGATTCCTACGAATGATTCTGAAAAAATCAAATTATATAAGTATCGCCCAAGAATGCCGTTGAAGAAAGCTACAAATAACATTATACTTCAACTTCCCGAAATTGGCAAACCGCTTAACATTGAATATTTCACTTAATAATTAGTTAATAATTTATTTCTCTGCTAAGAAGTTTATGTAAATTCTTGCTTGCATATTTGTAATATTTTATAATGCCGTGAATTATAAAATCTATAACGTTAAAGTAAATATATAAAATTGCACAATTTACTTATTCGGGCATTTTATTATTAAGGTCATATGACTTTACTAATAAAATGCCCGAATAAGTAAACCAAAAAAGTGTCAGTTGTTACATAGGACCCGAACGATAAGCATAGGTTATTGGCTATGACCAGTCAATAACCGTAACTGATATTTGGCCAGTCAGAGGTTAACCAATCGGTCAAAATTATGACTGATGTCAGATTTTTAATTTTCTGGCTAATAAATAAATAATAATAATTATAGCTGAACTTATGAAATCATATTGGAAGATTTGCATCATCTGATAAATAGGAAACCCAATAACCTTTAAAATACTAGCTAAAAAATTTCACAAGCCAATCAAATCTCAAGATCAGGTGTAACATTGACGATCAGGAAAATTCAAAACAAACGTTCGTTTTGTCAAAAATTGCTCATAAATCAAAATTTAGTCTATGAAACTGCCTTCTGCGCACTAACAAAACGTTTCCCTTGTGAATTTTTGATATAGCTACAACCCTCTAACCCGACCTATGATCTACTAGCAAGATCCTAACCTAAACTAATCGAGAACTTTTTTTTAGTGAAAAATTTTTTATTGGTTTTAAATAAGATCACATGATGTGCGAAATTTTTTAGACTGGTATTACTTCGACAACAAAATCATTGCTCGATGATTGACCAAAAAAAATTTTGCTTAATCGATCAAAAATCAATTATATAAACTTGATCGAGTATGTTCGATCAAGCATATAATTTATAAACTCGAGTATATATAATCGATTAATTATTAGGTCAATAATTGATCGATTATATCTTATCTACTAAAAAAAATCCAAAAATAATAATGTATTCTATAAAATTTTCTTGATCGATCAAATTCAACTATCTGATCGATCAAACATTATTGATCATTAATTGACCTACTTTTGATCGAGTCTACAAAACCATGCTCGACTATTGACTCAACTCAATCAATAATCGATCATGATATAGTTGTCGTGACTAAAGTTAGGATCCGACTAAAGTTGGAACTTCAGTTGACTGAAGTTGCACCTGACTGAAATTAGTCCCTGAAATTAGATCATCCTGCGCGCATTAGTTAGCTGTTTTAGGCAGGTGCCAACTGAAGTTCCAACTTTAGTCGGATCCCAACTTCAGTCACGACATAGTCGAGTCAATTCACTAGGTATTACTAATCTTATAGGAAAACCCATCACTTATATGTCTGGACAAATTTGCAGATCATTTGACCAGAACTAGAACAAACCAATTTTGAATCTGGTAAAAATGATCTGCAATTTTAACCAAAATTATAGATGATGTGCCGATATTGTATATACACTTATCATTGTTCTAAAAGATTTTTTTTTATATGACCAATCACAATCAATTGGCTATGAGCAATTAACCGATAATGACCAACCAATGACTGACTATAACCGACTGAACCCATCCATAATCTTGATATGCTTGATTGATAGATATTGTGATATTATCATCGATCTGGAATAGCACTTTGACAAAAAATAGGTTTCATCGACTCTTGTATAATCATAAAGATCATTGAACCTATGTTTCTAGTTTTAGTGCGATAGCATCGCACATAGAGATGGGTTTCATGCGTGCGCATGATTGAGGAATCATGCGCATGATACCGTTTCATGCGCATTTTATCCCATCAAAATTTCTCTCCTCTCAATCGTTTTTGCCTTTTTTTTATCATGCAATATCATGCGCATGAAACGATTTGTGCGCATTAATGCGCATTCATGCGTATTTTATTATAAAATGCGCATTTTTCCCATCTCTAATCGCACAGCTACCTTATTCTGATAATGTACATACTATTATTTAATAAAACAAGATTAGGCAATATTATGTATCAAATATGCTCTATTGATATTGGAGAACACCCTAAACTTCAAGTTGTATTTATTATTATTACCAACGACTTTAAGATTTAAATATATTTATCACAATTTATATACGAATATATAGTCTTGATTTTCGATTTTTGTAATTCTTATTTTGTTTAGTAGTATTAAATTTACTTATTTGTTATTTAACTAGAAATATTATCATATAGGTGGCTTTACTGTTCATAATATGTTAAAGATAGATTTGTTTGTTTTATTCTTATTTTGTTCTAATAAAATATTTCCATTTAATAGTCTGAGTTGTTTGATTAGACAGTTTATATTTTAGCAAAACTATATAAACAAATATTCTTTATAGCTATGATAATGACAAAATGTGAAATATGAGTTAGCATTTTTGTAATTAGATGAATTTGTTTGCCAGTATTAAATTTGATTATAAAAAAAAAACTTGCTAAATTTTTTATATATATATATATAAAAGTTTTATAGAAGAAAAATAAAAATTTGGGCTTTCAGATTTATTTACTAAATTTAGATATAAAAGATCTGATTAGTAATAAATATAATATAATAATTATGTATAATATATATAATATTATTGTGCAGCCATGTTATTGATGACTGCACTAAAAATTTTCATATTTGTACAGTTTAATATATTTATTATATTATAATTATATTATAGTAATTTATATAATTCTTATTCTAACCTTTATTCCAATACTTACTCTAATACTTATTTTAACCCAACCCACATAATAGCAGTTAAATCAATACTCTAATTAATTTCACTAGCTATCAGATTTCAAAATCATGTGTATTGTAAAAAAGTAAAAAACAAAACAACCAAAAATGTTTGTAGTTTAAAATTTTGCCTATAAAAATACCTTCTAGGTACTAACAAAAATTTTTTCTTATAAATTTTTACTATAACTATAGTCCTTTAAACCAATAATAATCTATTAGTGAGACTCTAACCTTAAACTAATTGCAAAACAATTTTTTTTAATAAAATTATATAGTTAGTGAAATTTTTTAGAGTGGTGATACTAGAATTTAAACCCACATACCTACTAACTCTAATTCAAATATTATTGCATAATGAATGAATACTATGACAGTTTGTTATAAAAATATATATTGAGAAGACTTACCACTTTAATCTATCACTTGTCAACTGTCATTTACAAAACTAACATTGCTTACAAAAAACAATAGAATAGCAAAAAGCCAACAAGTAATTACAATATCCATGCTAGAAAACATCAATAAAATGATGATACTAAAAAATTTGCATCTACAAAAATAAAATTTGTACCAAAATTCAGTAATACTATATAGCTAACAAATATTAACAAACATCTTACCAATAAATGCTACTACCAACAAATGCTACTGCTATCACCAGCAAATGCCATTATCAACAAATACTATCACCAACAATTGCTATCACCAATGAATACTATAACCAATGAATATTATTACTAGCGAATACCATCACCAATAAATACTATTATCAACAAACCATTATTACCAACAAATATCAAATCTAGCAAATTACAACTCCAGAATATAGCGATACTAATAAATATCTACAAATATAATACCACCAGAAACAAAAACCAAAAATGCAACAGTTAATACTATAAAAAAAGTAGTTAGTAAAAAAAACAAAGAATAGAACAAAAAAAACAAAGAAGTAGCAAGAACAAAAAAACTACTTATCAAATATATTACACCAAAATATCAAAAAAGACAAAATTATAACAATCTGAAGATATGACATGTAATATTATAAAAAATAGTTAATAAAGAAAAGAAGTAACAAAAACAAAAAAAAGACTACTTACCAAGTATACCACATTAGAAATAATAAAATAGTGATATCCAAAAACACAATGTGTAATACAAAAAAAAGGTCAGTAAAAAAGATTAAGCACAAAACAAATATCAAAGATAAAAAGAAAAGCTACTTATCGATTATATCACACCAAAAAATAACAAAAAATAATAAAATAAAAAAAAACAAACAAAAGAAATAAAAATCTATTTATATAAATTTTGTAGATCTGTGTAACTAGTAATTATTACTACCAGTTAATCATAGTTATTTTCTATTTTTAAAACTAGTTATTTAACTTGTTTAAAGCCTGTACATACAAATAATATAAATATAAAGCATCAAAATTAGTTACTTGAATAATTAACTTGATTAAAGCCTGTACATACAAATAATATAAATATAAAATATCAAAATTAGTTATTTAAATAATTAACTATCTAATAAGTAAATTTTCTTGAAGATAAGTAGGTTATTATATCTAAAAATCACATTATATTATTTTTATTTATTTATATAATTTAATTTTAATTTTGTGTACTTTAATATATTTTATTAATTGCAAAAATCTAAAATATTGTAATAATTAATTTAGTAGGATAATATCTGTTATTTGAGTAAACAATATATCTAAATTCTTAAAATTATTTAAAAAATATATATATTAGTTATATAAGGTTGTATTATAGCTTTTATAAATATAAAATAACTTACTACAAAACCAAATACAATAATATAAATATAAAATAAAATTTTATTATACTAGATACTGGATCTGTTATTAAATAATAGATTTTAATATTATTACTTGCATATATATATATAAAGTATCAATTATAGTTCAGTATATCTATATATCTATATATATACATTATATAAATAAACAATATATAATTATTTTTTTATTAATTCAAAAATTTACGATTGTAAACTGTAATATATATATCAAAATTACTTTATGTATTTTAAGAATTTATTCATTACTAATTGAGCCAAGCTATTTTTAATTTTTTTTTAATTATATTATAATTAAAGAATTAGACTAAACTTTAAAATATCCAACAAACTTAATATATGTCTTATAGTACACATTCTATTGTTAGTAAAGAAATGTTTATAATTACTAGATTTTATAATAAGTCAGTTTCTAAAGGTAGATAAGAAGATAT